TCTAACCCCTAAGGTCGGGAAGAGGCGCAAGGAAGCTGACATGGCAGTATCGCATGTGCGGGATGGGAGAGGAGANGTATCCTATTAATATGATGCTCCAAGCGCACAAGTAATGCAGCCGTCAGGACAGAATTGGGGATCTAACCCCTAAGGTCGGGAAGAGGCGCAAGGAAGCTGACATGGCAGTATCGCATGTGCGGGATGGGAGAGGAGAGGTTGCCGAGAATTGTATGGGAGGCGAAGTGGGCAAACAAAAAGAGGGGTAGACAACCCACGGAATGGGTCAAGGTTGTAGAGGACGTATGGAAGGGGCTCGACAGCGACGAAGATGAAACGCTGGAAACGGAGGATCTACAGGGGTTCAAGGAGAAGATATCTTGTGCCGAGAGAGAAGAGCAGCATCTAAGGAAATAATCCAAGGATAAGGAGGGTCTAGAAGTGTTCGGAATGTTGAAGGAAGGAANATTACCTACATGGACCAATGGATGCAGGAACAGAGCTTATGGTCAAATTCAGGACCGGGGACATAGGCCTTCGAGAACGTCGATGAAGACATAGGACAGTAGACGACGAAGACGACGAGTTCAAATGTGATTGCGGCTTCGAATGCGAAGACCGTGTTCATGTAGTCGCGGAATGTCTGTTGTACAACAAGGAGAGGGAAGTGTACGTGACTGAGCTGGGAAAAATAGATGGGACGTACAGGGAGATGTTTGAGGCATGGAGTAGAGAGGAAAGGGCGGTAGCTGTACTATGGCATAGGAGGTGGGTTAAAAAGGCGGGAAGGGATATCGTTAGGATAGACAGACTAGGGAAGCCATTGTTGAGCCACCTTTGGCAAAGTAGAAAGGAACGATTGGTCATCGGTGATCGGTCCTGTGGGAAGAATGCTCCGTCCTCTCGAGGACGCGTGGTCAATGGTCTAACCGCTGAGGCATGCAAAACATAAGAGTTTGCCCCCGCCCCGCCCCGCCACGTCACACCTAGCCAAGTTGAGCAGAATTGCTTGAAGGCGCTACAGCAGAATGAAAGTAGAGAAGTATACAACACACGGCTAACCTCGAGAGCCGTGTCGAGGTCGAGGTACAAAAAAACTGTACGGCACATGTATTTCTTCTACAGTTCGACCCGCAAACTGCTGTCGTGGACGGTTTAGCTTGCAATCACGCCGTCACACCGTTCGATCAGATTCACTCTATAGAACGGCCTTTGCCTGCTCTACGTTTACCCGTGGGTTCTAGTATTGGTGTCCTCTTGGTTAGGCGGACGATCAAGTTCGAAAACAAATATATCAAAGGTCTTCAGTGTAGTTCAAACTTTCGAGGCCTTGGTCGCGGACCGTCATTTCACGCTAGCTTTTACCTCTATTATTGGATGTGCTTGTGGCCAGTGGGGGGCGCGTCTGGAGTTCGCTCAAGACTAACCTGTCCAAGCACACGTGCTGCTTTTCAGACTTCCGATGGCCCGTGGACACGCCGGACTTTCCCTCGTCAGGTTTGGACAAATACGTGCTCATCGACATCCTTAACTGTATTCTGATAAACTTTGTCCCTGACAAACTAACTGTCGATAGCATTTGGTAGACGAGGTGCTCTGTGTTCAGAGCATGTCGAACAAACCAACATGATAAGTGTACACTAGTATTCGCTGGTCGGTTTCGTGCCATGGATGTACATCCTGCTTGATCACTTTCTAACGCTACTTCACTCGGAACCTAGTTTCTCTGCGATGTGTACCGGTTCTAATCCAAATAAATTGCAAAGCAACAGGATCTCGTACCCTCACTGGTACCACAAACCACGCCATTCTCTCTCTCCCCCCGACGGCTTCGGTCGTCGCTTGTGAACCCCCTGCCACCTTCGAGAAGCACGGCTCAGGCAGTACATCGAGGACTATGCGGCACACTTCGACCTGGCGAAGCACGTCCGCTTCGGTGTTTTGGTCACAGCTGTTGTGCCCCGCCCCGCTGCCGATGCGGGCTCTCCCCGATGGAACATCACCTTCACCTCAGCAACACATGGCCGTTGCGCGGCAAGAGGAGACCAACGAACAACCGATCCAAGCGTACCTACGCAGGAAGACGTAGTCCAGCGAACAGAGACGTTCGACAAATGCATCATCGCATCGGGAGTTTTCTCAGAACTTCACTTCCCACCGGTGGAGGGGATCTCGGAGGCGGTGGAGCAAGGCTGGGCCACGCACGGCGCGGCCTACCGGGACCCTGGACTTTTCGCGGGGAAGTCGGTGCTCGTGGTGGGGTGTGCGTTCAGTGGGGCTGAGATCGCCAGCGGTAAGCGGACTTGGAACTCTTTGCGTGTTTTTCCACTGGTGCCGAAGAAAGTCGGGTGGTGACATCGGCACAATTTCTATCTAGGTTGAGATTGTGTGAGCTTGTATGCTGTCTGTTGCTTGCGTGTTGGGAGATAACATGGCAGCGGGTACATAAGAAGGAGCAGCTATGGTCGTTGAAATAACACTCACCTAAGGTGGCTGGACACCCGACCTGGCACCTTCCTTGAGCTGTTGGAAACGACACACGGGTGACAAGAGACGGCGGAGTTCGGCAGCCCGTCCAGAAAAGTGGCTTCACACAAACTATCGACAGCCTCAACATCTACGCCCACCCTAGTCCCACACCGCCCCCGCCCTACTAGTTAGCCAGCTAACCCATCAATCTGTCCTCGATAAGACATCCCCCAACATCGGACGCGATACCCTCAGATCTAGCCGGAGTAGCAGGTCGGTGCCTCGCCGCGACAGGGCGTCCGTCGATCTTCCTACCCCGTTTCGTCGACATCTATGCCGCGAGAGGACCGCCGTCTTCTGCCAGTGTTCCTCAAGACGGAGCAGGAAACGTCGCTGCGAAACCAGGCAACGGCACCAGTACGGCTGGCGATGGTGCTCTCCAATCAGCGCACTCAGCAAGACGGCGAAGCGGGGATAACTTAACCTCGACCAAACGTGGGGGCGGCAAACATCCTGACAACCCCCGCTGCACGCAAGACACTCCTCCTCCTCTGGCTACCGCCAGCCCCAGGGTCCCGCTAGACCTTGCGCTGTATTCTAGGCGGGCCAGAGCCGGCAGCAAGCTTGCGCCCGCGCTAGAGAAGCTAGAAAAATCGCGGAATTTTCTGGTGAAGCTGGCAGGAAGGGACCCAGGGGACGCGCACGAGGCGTTACGGCTATCGCAGAGAAGCGAAAACAGACACGACTCGGATTCCGGGTCTGTGCGCGTTGTGGTCTCCGACGACTTCCTCGACCGGGTGAGGAGAGTAGAGGCGAAGTGAACTGAAAATCAAAGGAGTCGCCTCCTGCGTTAGAAAAAACACCCTTAAAAACTTGAAAACGTACGAGGTGGACGGAGAGCACCGGCGACACCATGCCTGTGTGTAGTACTGTAGGCGCATTCCACGCACCCTGTAGGCACATTTCGCGCACCCTATCGCCACACTCTTGACGTATTTTTGAAGACAAGTGTACTGCTGTCCGCTCCTTGCGAACCCATTGTTCCCTGCACGAACTCCTTCTCGCGGCTTCCTTCTGTCCTTCCTCTAACAACTGCCTGCCACCTCACACAACGTGTTCATTGCCCCATTGGGATTCAGCGCCCTTCGTAGTGCCGGGCACATGATCTCGGGATCCCCCACTACTGCCCCCCGCTTTCGTGTTCAAAGTGGGCGCGGTTCTTCGTCAGTTTTGGCAACCACGGAATGGGTTGGCCTTAGACTATGTAGTTGGGGAGAAGTAAGCCATGCGTGTCGCCCTCCTCGTCGCGTGCTGCTCCGCGTGCATTTCGAAATGACTGGCCCTTTCTCAAAGGTTCGGGACGGCTGCGTCGAAATTCGACAAAGGTTGGTTGCTCTAGACACCACGGAAAGAACGGTTCGATTCTCGGATGGTGACGTGGAGAAGGTGAGAGAGTCGGCGCCACCTCGTGACACAGCTACATATTGACCGTTCGTCGAAGTCATGTGCAATCATCAAAGCTTCCCGGCAGAAGTGGCGGTGTTGGCTCACGGTGTTGGCATTCCTCCATTGTTGGGACATGCCTATCGGGGCGACCGTTTGTTGGTGTGACAGACAGAGACTGTTTACTCCGCACCTCAGGTACAATCACGTGCACATGTTGGTATTGCACAACACTTGCTTGTTTCCGGCATGATGAGCGGTGTGTTCCGCCATGAGTAGCGCTAGCGTTGGTCATGCACGGACGGTAGAAGCTGTGCTTTCCCGCATGACTGGCCTCTTCCTTGATGGAGAACGTCAGACAAGAGCTTCAATCTTGCTCACGTGCTAACTACGAGGGCGCTCGGGCCTCCAAAAATCTTTTTACATGAGGGATGGAACGTGCGCATCAGGCACACCTTCCGCTCCATCTTGACCCCGAGGTTACCACTTGCTGAAAACAGAGAGTACAGCAATATCTTACTGGCACTACGTCGTACGCTGCTAGACAATAACCACGCGTGTGACAACGAACTTCACCCGACGTTTTCGATTGCGGTGTGATCCACATGACTCTACTTTGCGACACCAGGTGGACCATATGATTTTTTGCACGGGGCTTCGCCCGAGTCTCGGATTCCTGCCTGGAGACGTGCTGCGTCAGCTCGAACACGACAAAGGTGACCTCCTCCAGCCCCTGATCCTCCACCTGCAGGCTTGGAACCCTTCCGTGCCCGACCTCGGTTTCGTCGGCGTGTACCGAGGCCCCTATTTCGGGGTCATGGAGCTCCAGGCGCGGTGAGAGAGGTGGCGCCGACTGCGTTGCGGCGACCTTCTGGGTGTGCGACACAAGTGTGCCGTCAGTGCGCTTCCACGACGCTGCGTGGGACAAGGGCGTTGAAGCGCCAGCCCTACTCCTGCGGGGCGTGCAAGCAAAACTGTCTCGTTACTTCGTACGTAGCATCACCGATGCGTCGAGACTCTTGACACGTTGGAGACGGATACGTAGCAGCGACAAATGCAGCTAGAAGCTTGCTTGGTTGCTAAGCTTGTCGTGCTCCACCTCTCTCTTTTTCTGCTGTATGCAAAACTAGTTCGGCGGAAGCCCCCCGCTGGCAATTTCAGATAATTATTTCGAAGAGGTTCAGGTACTTTGCTTATTACAGCAGCAGTGCGCCATCGTGCCGTCGATCTCCAGATGGATAACTCGCATGTGGAGTGGTGCGGTTCCAATGCCGACAGAGGCGGAGAGTGCAGCAGCGTTACAGGAGAGCCGGTCAGTAAGAACAGCGACACCCCGGCCTCAATTTCCGACGGTGAGCTGTGCACGGTTGGCCGCTTTTCGTGTAGCCTATACATATTTCAAGTGTTTCCCCTCGCGACTCTAATTTCAAGCGTTTTTTCTTTCTTGACGAATCACGATAAGTCAGCGCCCACACCGACATTTCTGCCGGGTAGGAGGTGTTGCACTATAGCTCCAATCCGTGGCTAGTTACACAGAGGGATTCTGCTCCCTGAGGAACCCTACCTTTGTATCGTCCCGGAAGTAGACCTTGCTTTGTGGGCATTCCGGAGACTGTCTGTTCTAAGCTGGTGTAGACTATGCCTAGTTTTGGAGGAACCCACCATGAGACGTTGGTCGTGTTTTCGTGGCGTGCGGGTGGCATTTTGCGGCGTCTGTTGCGCTCACTGATGGCCTTATTGTTGTGCTACTTCCCCTTGAGCATTTTCATTTAAACCGCAACCAGAAAGAATTTTCTCTGGGTATCAGGTCGAATGGAGACATGTAAAAGGCGTTTCCACGTCAAAAGGCATGGGACATGAAAATGGGAAGATTTCTGGTTTTCACGAGTGTTTATGGGGCACATTACCCCGATAGGCGCTTTTAGCCTCGCCTTCATCTTTCAGCAAGCTTGCTGCAGAACACCGCAACTATCGACGTTCGGGGTGCACGTGGCAAAGAACACAAACACGAAGCCGTTCCATTACACTTGTTGACAGGCATCGAGTTCCTCTGCCGCAAGGCGCTACTAAAAAAGCCCGCATTTCCCGGCTTCGCTTCCGCTTCAGGATTACGTGGACATGATGGAAGGTCTCGCCGGGGTCGCCGGCTTGTTGCCAAGCAATCGCAAAGACTTGTCGTCGTCGCCGTCGTCTGCAGTTTCCCCCGTCGACTGCCTGGGCGAGAATGCCGATTCGGCGGAATTGGTGGCCATGATTCAGTCACAGCGCCCGTTGTCGGGTGCAAAAGGCACGACGGGACGGGAGGGGGCGTCGGAGGAAAGGGACGCGATAGGCGCGCTTAACGAGCGGATGTGGAGCGGGCCCCTCCTCCCCTGCCACTACCGCCTCCAACACCTTGACGCGCGGGTGTCGCCCTGCGATACCATGGACGTCGAGGGTAGTGCAAGGGCGGTTGATTTCTCCAGCCGGGCGCACTGTACGACAAGCAGGCACGAGGTAATGCGCGAGGCCATCGCAGAGATTGGAGAGGTCAACGCTAAATTAGAGAGAGCGTACAGAGCTTGCACTTTCCATGGGAAACGATTTTTGGCAAGAACCCCGAGTGAAGTAACTGCTGTTGAACGACTCTTCAAAGTCTAGGCAGATGGTGTATGAAACTTAGCAGGTCGTGAAGCGGCCCAAAGGCAAATGAGTTTTGAGGAAAACCAGTGCCACGCCGTACGACGGTGAACTCGGCATCTTCATTGAAACACGACGATCGTTCCCGTACTCGTGTATCTGATGTATCCCGCTGGAGTCAGGCGGACATGCGTGTGTATATGATGGATGCGTGGAAACAAGTCTTATGCCTGACGATATCGATATAATCTGAACTGTACGTATGTAGATGTCGAGTGGCAAACAAAGAAGGACAGAGGCTATTGCAATGTGCACGTGCGACATGAATTCGAGTATGTACCGCTGAAGGAACACACAGAACGGAGGGGAGAGAGAGGGGGGGGCAGGAGGGGGGGGGGCGGGGGACATGCAAGTATGCGAAGGAGCTCTGGAGTTGAAGCACCCGCAGCAGTACGGAATGACCGTTTCACGGGGGG